TGGATGGTTCGGATGACTTCGAGCTCATGCCTGAGGACAGAGGTGAAGTTGCGAAGCGCACTGAGACACTTTCACGTGGACTTCAAGATCTTGCGGAGCAGTTGTTCGAAAAGATTTCGGAGCAAGCGAAGCAGGCGAATATCGAGCACGACAAAACGCGCCTGGCGGCCAAGAAACGTCGCGCAGGGGAAGATGGTGGAGCTGCTGCAGGTGCTGCTGCTGCTCCAGACGCAGGTCAAGCCGCTGCAGCAGCCACTGCTGCTGCAGGAGCGCCTGAGGCAGGCGAGACCGGTGGGGCGCCCCGCCCGCATCAGCCCTTTCGAGCACGTGTTGATGCCTCTCTGTCCTGGGGGGGGAGGGTGTCGACAGTAATCGGGTCAGCGCGAGCTCGAGTCAGCTCAGAGATGTTTTTTTGTTTTTGTTCTCCAGTCAGGTCTCTCCTATTGGCTCCAGCAAGTCAGGAGTGCGACTTTTTCGAAGGTGCACGCAGCTGTGGCCACTGAAATCCTCCGGATTTTGCCATGCTCCTCTGCTTCCTCGTGAAATTCGAGTGCCCCCAAGATCCCGAGAAAGTGAACGCTCCCAGGGGTAGCTGGTCAGATGCAGAGCTTGGGTCGCGCCTCCACTGCAGCAGGTGCACGCTTTCCGCAATCCGTTACTGAAGCCTGCCTACCAGTGTACGCTACCTCTCCTTCCAGCGGGCCTCGGTTTTTTGCTGGAACAAATGCGGTCAGAGCCTTCTGTCGGGGCGGGCTCGCAGACGGATCAGCTCTGGCCCATGCGCTTCCGTTTGCATCTGCCAGGTTCTCTGAAGGAGCTGCCCTCGACGGGGGCGTCTGTGTCGCGACCATCAACGCCAACACCTGGGGCGCTCAAAAAATCATTCCTGGGGCCCACGGGGGCGCGCGTCGCGCGGGCCCGAGAGCACCGATTGAGGGGGGCAGTCGGATCTTGATCAGGCCTCGAAGAGCTCCAAGTTCCCGGGCTGGAAGTCCTTATGGGCCCTAGGGCTCGCTGGCGATGGGGGTGGCATGTCTTTCTTGTCCGGCGCGTGCGTTCTGGTCAAGGACGCCTTCGGCCATTCTTCCTCCCTGGGTCGGCGCGTGCTGGTTGACGGGGGGGCCGCCGCGGTCATGGCGCGCGCGCCGGGTTGCGCGGCGTTCTGCGCCATCTCGCTCTACCTGGCCCACAGCGAAGGTCTTTCAGAAACAGACCTTGAGATTCTAAAGACGGCAGGCGAGTTTCTGGAGCAATTGGGGCGCGAATTTATGGTCAGGGGCGATTGGAACTTCGGCCTGGGACCTTGGGTTCCTGCGAGTCTACCAAGCTCGTCCAAGGGACTTTGGTTTCCACTGTGGGCCACGCCCACTTCCCGAGCTCGGGCCCCCCCGGTAGGTTTGATTATTTTGTTGTCTCTCACGCTCTGAGCTCATGTTTAAAATCGGTCGAAGCTTATGGGGGGCACCTCGCTCGCCCCCCGCCGGCCCGTTGCCGTGGGCTTCCATGCGTCGCTTGGTGATCTCAAGGCTCGCGCTTTCCGTCGGCCCCCTGACCTTCCCGCCCCCCCTCCGAGTGGCCCTCGGCCCCAGGCTGGCACCTGGGGGAAGGCATATAGCCTTTGCCCAAGAGGCCTATGGCGCGGTGAGGAGCTGCGAAGTGACCGCGACCGTCGCTTGCTCGCGCCAGGTTATAAAGAGTGGGCCAACTCTGCTGAGCGATCTGTCAGCTCTCTTGGGGGCCCCGGTTCCGATGGGGATGCGTGGCAAAAGGCCCAGATGTATTGGAAGTCTATTCTGGGGGTGGGTGGCCGAGCTGAAGATCGCCCCCACATCAGGTCGATCCTTTGGCTCTCTAGCCAGCTGCGAGCTTCGAGGTGCTATCTTGCTGAATAAGTGCTTCTGGAAGGAGGCCGCCCCGTTCTGACGGCGCCGGCGCAGCCTCATGCTTCTGTTCAGCCTGCGGCAGGCTCAGACTGGACGTCTTTCTTTTGCGACGGCGGCGGGCGTAGCTCGCCAGGCCAGCAGCTCGGTCATGGGTCCCGAGCTGGTCACCGATCTGGGCCGTCTCATCCAGGATGCGGCATCTGCTCGCGTGTCTACTAAGGCCGCCGCCGCGACTGCGTCGCGGCGAAAGTGGCAAGAGCGGGCGCGCAATGGGCTCGGGGAGGGAGGCGAGCATGCGCAGCGAGCCGTCCGAGACCCCGAACCCTGGGCGCCCTCCACCAGGCTCTTCAGTGCTGAGGTCATAGCGCGCGACCTATCCAGCCTCCTCAAAGCCGAGGGGGATACGTTTTCGGCGATTTGGGAGCAGGGTGATGCCCATGGGGTTTGCCCCACTCTTCTGGCCCGCCCCCCTCTTCTCGAGCCTTCTGACCCCCGCGAAGTTTTTCAGAGGTTCCGCACCGGCAGCGCGGTTAGCCTGGACGGCCTCATCCCCTACATGTTTGTCCTTTGCCTGACGAAGCCCCGAGGGCCATGGCCCTCTGGAGTGCCGTCGTGGAAGCGACGGGGGCCCTCCCGCTGCAGCTGCCCTGGGTTCTGATTGCTCTCTTAGGAGTGCCCGCGGGGGGATTTCAACCGATTGGAATCTTCCCGAGCTGGTTCTGAGTCTGGGGGCGGCGTTGCCGCCTCGAAGCTCTGCAGCGGGTGCTCCGGCGTGCTGGGCCCCACTGGGCCGCGGGGGGGCGCGCCGAGTGGCTGGGGGCGCTGTCCGGGCGCGGGCGCGGAGAGCTGAGCCGGGCAATCGTAGGGGCGAAGTCAGCGCATCGATTTTTTTGGGGCCTTAGGAAGTATTATGAGCACATCGACATTCCATTGTTGTGACACGAGTGCCAGCAGCATCGTCTCCCTCCTTGCCTGGCGCGCTTGGCCATTTAAGGTGACTCGGTGGCCGGGTGCCTGGCCCTGAGAGGGATAATTGGAGGCCCTCAATTCGTGTCCAACGGTATCGTCGTGGGTTGTTATCTTGCGACCAGCCTCAGCAGGGCGTTCGCCATTGAGGCTTCCGATTTCATCCCCAGGGCAGTCAAGCGCGACTTCGAGGTCTACATTAACGACCCTCGCCTCAGTTGCACGGGG